GAAAAGGCAATTTATGGAACGGGAGAATATATTTGCAAATTACATATCAGATAAGGATTAATATCCAAAATATATAAGGAACTCATACAATTTATTAATAAAAATAAAATAACCTGATTGTAAAATGGGAAAAATTTTTGAAACAACATATACAAATGGCCAACAGATATATGAAAACATGCTCAACATTACTAATCATCAGGAAAATGCCAATCAAAATTACAATATCTCACACCTTGTTAGGATGACTATTTGTATTATTAAAAGATAAGAGATAAGGTTGTAGAGAAAAGGAAATCTTGTATTCATGGGAAGTAAATTGGTTACAGTCATTATGGAAAATTGTATGGAGGTACCTAAAAAAATTGAAAAAGAACTATCCTGTGAGCCAGCAATCTCACTTCTGCGTAACTATCCAAAGGAAATGCAAGATATCTGTACCCATGTTTATTGCAGCAGTACTCACAATGGTCAAGATGTGGAAACAATTGACGCGTTTGTCCACAGCAAACAGATGGGATACATACACACAACAGAATACCATTCAGCCACAAGAAAAGAAGGAAATCTTGCCATTTGTGACAACATGAATGAACCCAGAGGAAATTAGGTTAAGTAGGCCAGACACAGAAAGACAAACTGTGTATGCTTCGACTTATATGTGGAATTCAAAAAATCATACTCATAATATGGCGGTAGATAGGTGAAAGTTAGGGACTGGGGGGGAGGGGAAATGGGGAGTGTTGGGTCAGTACCAAATGAGTATGTTCTGCTGAGTTAATGGACATCTTGATGATAATTGTTAATAATACTATATTGTGGGGCCAGCGCTGTGGCACAGCGGGTAAAGCCACTGGCTGCGGTGCTGGCATCCCATAAAGATGCCGTTTTGAATCCTGGCTACTCCACTTCCTATCCAGCTCTCTGCTATGGCCTGGGAAGGGGTAGAACCCTTGGGACCCTGCACCCACCTGGGAGACCCGAAATAAATTTCCAGCTCCTGGCTTTGGATCCGTGCAGCTCCAGCCATTGCGGCCATCTGGGGAGTGAGCCAGCAGGTGGAAGATTCTTTCTCTCTCTCTCTCTCTCTCTCTCTCTGCCTCTCTGTTAACTCTGCCTGAGGTAACTCTATGTTCCTGAGGTAACTCTATGAGGTGATGGAAGTGTTAACTAAATGGATTTTTTGGTGCTCTGTTGAATAAAAGGTATGTGCCAACGTTAATGGTAACATTATTAATGATGTATTAACAAGTGTTTTGTCTCAGACACTATTTTAGACACCTCCATATATTCTAATTTATTATTGATATACATCACCACATGTTATCCAGAAAGGCCATATATTCACACCTGCAGTGTACAATTCTGCATGTTTATCGATACTTTAAGTCTCTTGTTAATCAGATAGATGAAAAACTGGATATAACAATTGGATCTACATTTCTTTGATTACTAGTGAGGTTAGATATTTAAAACAAATGATTATTAGCATTTTATATTTCTTTTTAAAAAAGATTTTATTTAGTATTTATTTGCAAGGCAGAGTTACAGAAAGAGAAAGGGAGAGATAGAGAGAAAGGTCTTCCATCTGCTGTTTCGCTCCCCAGATGGCTGCAATGGCTGGAGCTGGGCTGATCTGATCCAGGAGCCAGGAGCTTCTTCCAGGTCTCCCACGCGGGTGCAGGGGCCCAAGGACTTGGGCCATCTTCTACTGCTTTCCCAGGCCACAGCAGAGAGCTGGATTGGAAGAGGAGTGGCCAGGACTTGAACCAGCATCCAAATGGGATGCCGGCGCTACAAGCAGAGGATTAACCCACTGCGCCATAGTGCCTGCCCCAACATTTTATATTTCTTTTGAAACTTGTGTACTCACGTCTTTTTATTCATACTAGTAAGAAGTATTAGTATGTTAAGCACATTAAACCTTTGTCTGACATAGTTTACAAATACTTCCCTCAGATTGGCGTTGTACTTTGTGGACATGTAAAAAGACTTTGTTATATAGGCACGTCCATATCTTCCTTTGTAAATCCTTCCAGTTCTTTTAGGATTACAGGGTTCTTCACTATCTCTGGATGCATGACATAGTCACCTTTTCTAGTTTGTCCATGCTCTTATGTTTTATACCTTTTTTTGGTTAACAAGAAACAAGGTGACAGCTATTTTGCATTTATTCATGTCCCCTTTACTGTTACTGAAAATTTATTTTCTGCACTTTTTAATAATATCACCGTTATTATCTAAGGAATTCTTACATAACGGGTATATTTGTGAGTTTAATAATCTCTTTCAGTGTCCGTTTCGTGCTGGTATTAGACTTTTTTTTAAGTTATTAGCTTCCATTCACTCATCAACGACCCCTACACTCCAGAAGGCCTTTCCAGTTCTTTGGAAGCTATTACTGTACCTCTCTTTTTCATCTTCATCACATATAAGATCCTGCCCTGTATCACAGTTAACCTGGTTGATCTGAATTATACTTGAGGACAAGGAACAAGAGTATAATCCATACTCATTCAAATTAGATTCGTGGGATTTGCACTGCAAGGCAGCGACGGCAGAAGAGCTCCAGTTAAAAGGAAAGCAGGCCGTCTCTCAGTAAGCATCACTGTGCTGTTCATTACAGAAAGGCTGTGCTCGAGGGAGGGAGACAAGGAGGGAAGTATGGTTATCTGAGAAGTGTAGGCATGAAATACATGAAATCTGTTCTCTTTATGTGAATGCAATTTTTTAAAAGATTGTAGTGAACCCTAGTCCCCGGGTCTAGGGAGCCCACAGGCTAATAGGGGAGGGGCAGAAACCACAAAGCAGCAGCTCCTACAAGGAAGCAGCAAGGAAAAACCCAGCTTAGCAAGCAGCAGGCCTTGCTTCAAAGGGGCGGACACGGCACGAGCGGCTGACATGAATTTTAAGGGGAGCTTCCTGTAGTTGGGGTGGATGAGCACGGAGCCAACGTGCCCGGGCGCTCGGCTTGGAAGCTCTATGGAGTGCGCAGACCAGAGACGACTAGAACGGGACACAGGAGACAGTTAATTGACGGTGTGCAGCGGCATACAAATTACGCAATGGAGAAACAAGGTAAACCTTTATCTGTCAGATTTCCAGTCATAAACCGTTTACTTGCATTGACTTAAGAGCTCTCACAGCCCTTCTTGGGAGAGCGGAAGGCAATTGCCAGCCGCCTCTTCTAGCTTGGCCCATCAAGCCCCGGCCAGACGTCAACGCAAGAACTGACGTCATGCAGGCGTGACGTCATCGGCACTAACGCAGTCTCACCGGGAGGGGCTCCCTCGCTTATCCCAGACCGCGGTCAGCTGCACGGAGGCTTCCCACGGTTGGGGTTCGAATGGTTAGAGCTGCTGGAGCCGACGGCTGAAGGAGCCCGGGAACGGTTACCTCCTCCCTTGCCCTCGCTCCTATCTGCGTCTCCCGGGAGGCCCTGGCGCCGCCTCTGCGGGGGCGCGCTCCGGAGCTCGCCGCTTGAGGCGGTCACGCGCACGCAGGGCCGTGCGCCCGCGCGCTCCCTCCGAACCCGGAAGTGCGAGGGAGAGCGGGCCACGTGGGTGGAGCTGGAGCGCAGCGCGCATGGGGGAGGCAATCCCGCTGGCCGCCCCGGTCCCGGTGGAACAGGCCGTGCTGGAGACGTTCTTCTCTCACCTGGGTATCTTCTCTTACGACAAGGCCAAGGACAATGTGGAGAAGGAACGCGAGGCCAACAAGAGCGCGGGCGCCAGCTGGCTGTCGCTGCTGGCGGCCTTGGCGCACCTGGCCGCGGCCGAGAAGGTCTATCACAGCCTCACCTACCTGGGGCAGAAACTAGGTACCTCCGCCCGCCCCCCGTACCCCCGAGGAGGAAGGAAAGGGGGTTCGGTTCCCCGGTCGGCGCGGCTTGGGGCTCCTGTGTCTGCCTCTCCGGGCCGCCGGCTCGCTGCGGATAGATGGGTCGGCCGGGTGAAGGCTGCTTGCGGGGCCGTGCCGCGCGATTTACCGTCTCGCCTCGGGCCTTGCTTGGTGCCGGAGTGAGAAGTTAAGCACAGTCCGTGTCCTCTTCCTTCTAACTAGCGACGCCGCCACCGGAGAAGCACAGCTGGGCGGTACCACCTGGTTGTGTTTAATGAGTACGGTGGTCTGGCTGGCCTTCCGAGGTGAAAGCCACTGCGAGTTGCAGATGGAGTCGGGCCCCTCCATACAGACTTAATGAACGAAGGAGTCATTGAATGTTGGGCAGGAAAGGCAGGAAATACGCCTAACGCTAGACATAAAGGGGAAAATGGTAAATACTCAGCACCCCATGTCAGTCTTGCCCCTGAAAAATAAGATGCAAGACCCGATTCAACTGATTTTCCGTGCTAGAAACAATTGGCATGAGTGGAGGAGGAGGAGCCAAGAGTTGTGCATACAAAGTATTACTGCTTACAGTAATGCAAACAAATGTGTCCGGATCCCAGAACTTTGAGAGTCGTTTGAATGCCTTTGGCCTGTTTTAGACCTTTTAATTTTGTCAGAGGCCCGGGGTCTGGTGTGAATGAAGAACGCACACATACAGTTCAGAGACTAGAAATATAAACCTGGATGGAGGTTACATTCTCATCTCTCCGCTCCTTGCGTTGACCCTTCGCATCCCCTTGCTCTTTGAACGCTAACCCGAGGGGTAGGGCTTTCAGAGAGCCCAGCTTCTGCCTGGCTGTTCAGATAATGACTTGTTATTTAGTGTGTTGATTTAGTGGCAGAAACCAGTCAGATAGGCATGAATGCTGTTCCCTTTTGCCAGTGGGAAACTTCTCACAAGTGTGCAATTGCTGTTATTGCTTTTGAAGATCAGTAACTCCTATATAGTTGTGTGGGTGGATCCCAAACCAGAATACCTTCCTTTGAACTGTCAGACTGAGTCTGTATCCATGTAATTTATTAAGTATAGGTACATGATTATCATTTGCATAAAATATGATAGTGCTGTATATGATATATGTGTTTTATATATATAAATGAAGAAAGGATTCTAGCTGTAATATTGAAAATGGGCATATTGGACAGTTTGGTTGTTCTGGACTTAACCCCATATTATTCCAAATGCCGTGATTCTTAGCTTTTTTTTTTTTTTTTTTTTCACTCATGGGAGTTTGATGAAAGCTGTGGATTTACTCCTCAAATAGAGGTGTACACACACTTTTGCGTCTACACTGAGAAAGTTCAGTTGGATTTCCTAAAGAATTATTAATGAACTCCACTTTAAAAATCTGCTACTCCAGTTTTAGATTGTATGAGCCAGGTTTTTATGTAAGCAGAACTGACTGCCTGGTGTGTAAGAGTGCCTGGTGAAGTGGCTCCAACTGCTCTAACAGGATTAGTTCTGCTTGAACCCCAGCTGGCCTGGGTGAGCCTGAGGGCTGTGCCTTGAAATTGACCCACACAACAGTTCACACTGTGAAACATGCCCAGGCACTGTTTGACTCCCAGATACCTCCTGACTTCCCAGTGAACTTTCTGAAAATGTTGTGTTTAATGTTTCTTATCTCATTGACACGTACAGTTCTAGAATTTAAACTTTAGCTTTGCAAATATCTTAAGTTGTTTGGTTCTGGAACATGTGGGACATCAGTATGCTTACACTATGACTTCACTATTACCACGTTGATGGTCCTTTTTCTTACAAACTTGGGAAAAAACTTTTGTGTTGCCATTAAAAACATTCCCATGTTCTCCCAACTATTTTGCTAATTAGAATGTGTATGTGATTTTCTTTAAAAAAAGCAAAACAAAAATTTTCTGCATACTTTCAAGAAATTTTAAACATAGTTTTATTGAGGTATAATTGACAAATAAAAATTATTTAAGCTGTACAACTTGATGTTTTGATATACATCGTGAAAAGATCACCACAGTAAAACTAATGAACATATCCATTACCTCAGTTTCTTGTTTCTCTCCCCCTCCCCACTTCTTTCTTTTTTTTTTTTTTTTTTTTTGACAGGCAGAGTGGACAGTGAGAGAGAGAGACAGAGAGAGAAAGGTCTTCCTTTGCCGCTGGTTCACCCTCCAATGGCCGCCGCTGCAGCCGGCGAACCGCGCTGATCCTGGCAGGAGCCAGGAGCCAGGTGCTTTTCCTGGTCTCCCATGGGGTGCAGGGCCCAAGCACCTGGGCCATCCTCCACTGCACTCCCTGGCCATAGCAGAGAGCTGGCCTGGAAGAGGGGCAACCGGGACAGAATCCGGCGCCCCAACCGGGACTAGAACCCGGTGTGCCGGCGCCGCAAGGTGGAGGATTAGCCTATTGAGCCACGGCGCCGGCTCCACTTCTTTCTTTTTTTAAGAAACACTTACTATCCCCCTCTTAGGAAATTTCAGGTAAAAAGTGAATCATTTTCAACTCAGTGCTGAAGCTGGTGTTAGAGAGCCTTAGCAGTGAATCCTGTTTACAGATACAAGTGTGGGCCTCAGAGCCGCAACAGACCTGACAGGGAGCCTTGTGTTTCTGTTTGGCCCTGTTACTGACAGACTCTGGACAGGGCTCTTCTCTTGAAGCCTGCCTTTTATTTTAAGGGGAGAATAATTCTGTTTGGGGGAAGGATGCCTGAGGATTTGAGAAGGTCAGACTTACTTTTCTCCCCTTTGTTTTTCACTACTGGAAAGTTTCTTCAGCCTCAAGTTGCTTAAATTTGGCATAATAGAAAATGACTTGAGATCAGATGTTTAAAAATGATCACTACCAAGTAGTTTTACAGTAAAAAGCCCAAGATGTTTTATATGCTTCTTTAATGTACTGGAAATTTCATGATGTGAGATAAAACTGTTGAACTTTTGAGAAATAGCATTCATAGCTAGAACTTTCTGAAAGTAACTCATATTTTATAAATTCAAAATATTGAAAAGAGAAGGCAGATGAGTGTTTCTGATTTTTTTTTCCCCAGAATGAAGGAAGGTAATCCCCACTGGATATTCTAAACCTAGGTTGGAAACAACCTGGATTGTGTCCCTGAGAGCTTTGATACAAAGGCATCAGTGGTTTCTCTCTTCCTTTTGGTGCTTTCAATTTGCTTGGTTTCACCTCCTGGTGGTTTTTGATTATTGGTAAACTGTTAAAGATGCTCTTTGTGTTTAGTGTTTCCACTTTCTCAGATAAGGGTAGTTAAGACAGGAAGTGAAAAATTTCACCAAGGCCACCCTGTTTGTGGAAGGGAACATGTGGGTTGCTGGAATCACCTAGCTATCTGTCAAATGAATTAACTCTTCTTTTTTTTTTTTTTTTTTTTTTTTTTTAATTTTTTGACAAGCAGAGTAGAGAGAGAGAGAGAGAAAGGGCTTCCTTTTGCCGTTGGTTCACCCTCCAGTGGCCGCCGCGGCCAGCGCACCGCGCTGATCCGATGGCAGGAGCCAGGTACTTCTCCTGGTTTCCCATGCGGGTGCAGGGCCCAAGGACTTGGGCCATCCTCCACTGCACTCCCGGGCCACACCAGAGAGCTGGCCTGGAAGAGGGGCAACCGGGACAGAATCCGGCGCCCCGACCGGGACTAGAACCCGGTGTGCCGGCGCCGCAAGGCGGAGGATTAGCCAAGTGAGCCGCGGCACCGGCCAACTCTTCTTTTTACAGTGCTTGAAGCTCCCAATTTGCCAGAGTTTCAGAAACTCAATTATGTATTATTGGGAGAAGTTTCTTTGAACAGTTATAAGTGGAAGAGAAAGAGGTTAGCATTATCAAGGATGTACTTTGTCTAGGCATGTGGCATACCAAATGTTATTTCATTTTGTTTTCTTTATTGCTACTTTTATGTTAACAACAACAACTAAGGCTCAAAGTAGTGACATAGTAGGCACATCACACAACTTACAAATTTGGGAGCTGGGATTTGAAACCAAATATTTCAAACTTCCTGAGCTTTTGAGTTTTACATGATACTCTTATTACCTTCCTAAGTTAAGATCTTTTATCCCAGGGACCTTCTGATTCCATACCAATCACTTGACAAAAATCAGCAGAACTAGACAGTGTGGGTACAGGAAGAAGGCAGACCTTACAGGATCTTAGGCACTGTATGGGATGTTGGCATCACAGTCCACCTGTACCATAAGGTTTTTGCTGCTGTTAATAGAAGAAATAATGTGAATACTACTCAGTCTGTTTAAACAGTGCAGTGGAAAAAACAGTTTTTTAAGTATGAGTAGTTTGGGGCAATAGGAAGTTAGGGTTATCAGTCATCCAGGTTTGCTCAGGGTTGAGGGGTTCCCAGGATATGACACTTTATTTTAAAATCTGAATTAAGGGTTTCCTAGGAAGCCAGACTTTGAACAGTAAGGAAAGTCCTGGGTAAACTGGAACAAGTTGTTTGCCTAAGAAGTAAGAATGTCAGAATCATTTCTTGGAGAAAGAAATGGATTGGAAAATAATATTGAGTAAGTTCTGAAGGGAAAGAAACGGAATGAAAAATTGCTGGTATTTTAGGAATTTGCTAGTTGCTTCATTTTTATCTTTGTATATTCTTAGCTTTCCTTGCTAGTTAAATCGTTGTGCTTTTACCAAAAATAATAATAATATTGAGAAATGGTTGATTTATTGAGAGGCTATTTTGCCTTGATAAATAATTTTCATCCCTAATTAATATGATTAGAATAGTAAGAAATGCATTAAAACATTCTCAGTTTATTATTACAATATTTAAACTGTCACCAACTTCTTAGATTTTTATCTGCTTTGTTTCTTTTCATTCTTCCCATGTCTTGCCTCTGGCCCTTTGGTGGGGTGCAGAATTGTTGAAGACATTTTTGAAGCTGGGTGTGTCCTTAAAAATATAACTGATCATGGGTAAATACAAAAGTGAGTGATGTCTGTGCTTTTTGAGTGTCATAAGGATTTATTTGAGTGTCATAAGGATTTATTTAGGCGTATTTTTTTGCTGATTTCCTTTGGAACCCCTGAGTTACAGTAGCAGTTATTTATCGTTGGCTCCTGGCCTTAATGATTTGTAATGTGGTGCTTATTCTGCTGTATCCTCGAATGCCAGCCCTGTAAGGAGTTCTAAAGTACTAGTTTCCCCCTGGAATACCTCTCCTCTGTGTTCTTATATAAAAGGGACATGCGTACGTGTGTGTGTGTGTGTGTGTGTGTGTGTGTTCTGTTTCCTGGTATACCCTACAAGATAAGATTCAAAGAAAAATGTAACTCAAAAGCAGGAACAAAAAATATTTGATTTAGCAGGAATAGCAACAATGTTTTATAGTAGTGGGTGTTCTATTTTGAATATATTTATGTGAAAGGAGGTTTTGGGAACTAGAGTAATGCCATTTGCTAGTTACTTATGCTCTGAAATAAATAGGAATCCTCATTCAAGTGGAATGGGGGAGAGTTGGTAAGAAAATTGTACATGGATCCGTTGCCACACTAATGAATTGTACCAGGCACTCCCTCAAATTATTCCTCTGTGAAATTATGACTCTTTAAATATTTGTATCCCAGTCATGGCCGTCAGAGAATATGCTCCATGGAAATTCGCTGGGCTTGGTGGCTTCCGGTTCTTTCTGTTTGTTGCTGGGAAGTGTTTGGTACTCGTGATCCCTCTTCCTCACTTGTCCTGTGCTTCTGTCGTTTGCCTGCCAGGAGGCCAGTCGTTCTTCAGCAGGAAGGATTCCATCCGCACCATCTACACGTCCCTGCACAACGAGCTGAAGAAGGTGGTGGCTGGCCGCGGTGCCCAGGGCGGGACGGCGCCTCACGTGGAAGAACTGCTTTCCCACCTGTCGGAGCAGCTCTGCTTCTTCGTCCAGGCCCGCATGGAGATCGCAGACTTCTATGAGAAGATGTACACACTCAGCACACAGAAGTTCATCAATGCTGAAGAGCTCGTTGGCCTTTTGGACACCATCCTCAAAAAATACAGCTCCAGGTCAGTGTGAGGGCGGAGCGCGGACAGGGCCCAGCAGCCTTCTCAGTCCTGCACTGGCTCGGAGCCTCTCCACTTCTATGAAAATCTACAGTGCACTTAGCAGGGAGGAGAAATGTATGGCATCTTGTAGATATTAATTAATTAACAGCTATATATTGGCATCTTCTTTGTGCTTAGTTAACTCCACGCTGGATCAAAGTGATCACAAAAGACCAAGAATGAAGTTATCCTTAAATGTTGCATTCCTGACAAGTTGATTTTGCTGCATATGAAGGAGTTCACACAACACAAGAAATGTATATAACACAGTGTTGTTTTTTTTTAAAACATTTATTTGTTTGTTTGAAAAGCAGAGTTACAGAGAGAGAGAGATCGTCCCTCTGCTGGGTCACTCCCCAGGTGGCTGCAATGGCCAGAGCTGGGTCGATCCGAAGCCAGGAGTGCAAGGCCATCCTCCGCTACTTTTTTAGGCAGTTAGCAGGGAGCTAGGTCAGAAGTGAAGCAGCTGTGACGCAAACCGGCGCCTGTATGGGATAGCGGCGTCATGGGCAATGGCCTAACCCGCTATGCCACAGCGCCGGCCCCCAACAATATGATTTTTAACAAAACACTATTTCAATAAATGTTGTCCTTTTCAGAGTAATCACTGCAGTGAGTTATCTGCTCATGCCTCTGATGTAGCTGTTCCTCAATCTGTTGGAACACCCACCCTTAAAACTACTTTCAGAGTCTGGGGCACATAGTTTGACTTTGTTTTAAATTTCGTTAGTGGAGGCAGGCTGGCAGCTGCTTTTGAGGATGGCATATTTGAGATTTATATGGATAGCCAATATTTGGAGCCAAGCTTCAGTGTTGTTTTTTTTTTTAAGTTGATCAACTGGAAAATTGATTTTATTTGAAGGAAATTGTTACTTACCAGGCGAAGAGACTGGTGACAATGTGTTGTGTGTTCCTTAGCCCCAAAAGAGAATACTCAGAATTTCAGAAGCCTTGTGAACATCATTGGAGTGATACAGTTTTATTTTTGTTGCCAAAGCTTAGCATAATGCTTTGCATATAGTAGGTGTTCAGTGATTGTATTTTGGGCTGAGAAGAGAGTGGTTTCTTGAAGATTACCACTCCTTTGGATGTATGGGTTCACATGTTTGCTTCAAAAGAAAAGGTGGGTATGTTGATTTACATTCCCAAATGAAGAATATCCCCATGTGATGAATGGAATGGAGGGAGGGAACCTAGTAGGGAGAATGAGAGACTTCATGGAGGTGGTAGAATCTGAGATGAGCCTTTAAGAAGTAGATTCTCATTTTTAATTCTTCTAAAATTTATTTGAGAGTTAGAGACAGAGGAGCTCCCATTGGCTGGTTCATTCCCCAAATGCCTGCAACATCTGGGGCTGTGCCTGCTAAAGCGGGAAGCAAGAAACTATCCAGGTCTCCTACTTGGGTGACAGAAACCCAACTGGTGGAGTTGTCACTGCTGCCTCCCAGAGTTGAATGCAGACCCTGAAGAATGCAGGAGCTGGAATTGGGAGCCAGAGCCCTGTATCAAAGTCAGATATTCTGTTACGGGGATGTGGAGCTTGAACATCTTAACTATTAGACTAAACAGAGTTTAGCACACAGTAGGTGCTCAATAGATGTCTGTTGAGTGAATGAGTGAATAGCTGTGTCCCAGGTTGAGAGTGTGTACATATAAGTAGTGAGGAAACATAAAATGCTTTTGAATGGAGGAGTATCATGTTCTCATCATCATCTCAGGCTAAGATGTAGCACTGATGTGTGCAATGGGATGGTGAAGGGAGTGGTTACAGGAGGGAAGGTTACTGTAGCAGGCTGTTAGGATAGTGGACGGGTGGTAGTGGGGCCATACTGGTTACAAGACAGTGGGAAAGGAGGTGGTGACAAGAATGCACTCTTCTGTATTTATTATTGCTTGTATCAAAAATTGAGATGATGGGGGCTGGCGCTGTGGCATAGCAGGTGAAGCCATTGCCTGCAGTGCCAGCATCCCATATGGGTGCTGGTTCAAGTTTTGGCTGCTCCACTTCTGATCCAGCTCTCTGCTGTGGCCAGGGGGGTTGGGGGGAGGGCGGGCAGTAGAGGTCGGCCCAGGGGTCCCTGCACCCGCTTGGAGACCCAGAGGAAGCTCCTGGCTCCTGGCTTCGGATTGGCACAGCTCCAGTCATTGCGGCCAACTGGGGAGTGAACAGCAGATGGAAGACATCTCTCTCTCTCTCTGTGCCTCTGCCTCTCTATAACTCTCTGCCTTGCAGGTAAATAAATAAATCTTCAAAAAAAATTGAGATGATGCTTCTTATCTAGTCCAGATAAATAATTTCTCTCTGTTGATCATTTTGCAAGTGAATAAATAAGATCAGTTCTTCAGAAAACATAACAAACACTATATTTCCTTGCTAGGAATAAGCTGTATACTGCATAAAAACATAAGTTTTGTATTCTCTCTAAACACAAGAAGTTTGGTTAATGTATTATGCAAACATACACTAAGTGAAAGAAGCAGACCACACATTGTGTTGCGTGTGCAGTGTCCAGAATGGATGAAGACATGGACACAGAAAGTAGATTACAATTCATAAATACAGGAAGTGGTTGCCAGGAACTGAAGAAGGAGAAGTGATTGCCAGTGGGCATAGGGTTTCTTTTTTGGGAATCACGAGGCTTCTGAATCAATGGTGGTAATTGTTGTGCAGTTCTGGGAATATATTAAAACCAATTTTAGTATTTTCTCAGTGAATTTTACACTTTAAGGCAGTGAATTTGGCAGTACATAAATTAAATACCAGTAAAATATTTATTAGAAAAACAAATAATATGCAGTAAACATAAATATCATTCACCTTAAGTCATATACTATTAAAATTTTGCCATGCTTGCTTTATATGGTTTTATTTCCTTGAGCATTTTGGAAGTAAGACACAAGCATTATGATACCTCCCTGCTAAACACACAGATTCTCTCTTCTAAGCATGATATTTGATCATAACATAGTTTTTACACTCAAGAAATTCAACACTGTTTTTCTGCCACTGTATAATGTATATAGTCCATATTCAGATTTTTCCAGTTGTCCCCAAAGTGCCCTTTATAGTTATTTTTGTTGTCATATCTCTTTGATCTTTATAGTATCTGTTAAATGTTAGGTATTATTGAATAGTTAATGCATTCACATGACTTAGAATTTATAAAGCACAGAAGAACAGATCATGAATAGTGTTCATCCTGCATTTGTGCTTTAGCCACTTAGTCCTCCTCTTAAGAGGCAACTAAGATAGTGAATTTTTGCTGTCATTCTGAGACGTAGTTTGTACCTGTAAATACATACATTTCATTTTATTTTTGTACCGTTTACTGATTTATATTCTTGGAAACATTTTATTTCATCCTTGAATCTGAGTGTATATGTTTTCTTTTAATAAAATAGCTTTTTACAGTCAAGCCCCAAACTGAAGTACAGTTGGGGCTATTAATTCCTAAGGATGAGTGGAGCTCATGCAGTAATTCCCAAACACTAATGTAAAAGAGGTTTGAGCTCTCTAGGACTCTTAAGAAAAATACCCATTTCCAGCTGGTGCTGTGGTACAGCGGGTTAATACCCTGGCCTGAAGTGCTGGCATCCCAAATGGGCACCGGTTCGAGTCCCTGCTGCTCCACTTCTGATGCAGCTCTCTGCTATGGCTTGGGAAAGCTGTAGAAGATGGCCCAAGTCCTTGGGCACCTGCACCCACGTGGGAGACCCGGAAGAATCTCATGGCTTCAGATCGACGCAGCTCCAGCAGTTGTGGCCAATGGGGAGTGAACCATCGGATGGAAGACCTCATTTGCTCTCTCTGCCTCTCCTCTCTCTGTGTAACTCTGACTCTCAAATGAATAAATAAATCTTAAAAAAAAAAGAAAAATACCCATTCGTGGGCCCCTCCTCCTCTTCCAAGGGTACAATTTAGCAATTCCAGATGTTTGCCCAGAGAACAATATTTTCAAAGTTCTCTATGATACTGAAACATTGTCTGTTAAAAAACTAAAGGTGGGGGGGCAGTATATGAGAGGAAAATGTCAACACTAAGATATACTGGATGTTGAACTTCACTGATGTGTGTGTGTGCTTTTCTTTTTAAAAAGATTTATTATTTTTATTTATTTGAAAGATTTACAGAGAGGGACAGCTGGAGAGATCTTCCATTTGTTGGTTCACTCCCCAAATAGCCGAAATGTCCAGGCTGAAGCCAGGAGCCTCTTCCAGGTCTCCCAGATGTGTGGCAGGAGCCCAAGTACTTGGGCCATCTTCACTAGAGTATCTGTTATTCCTTGAATACTTTTGAGGAGAAGTAAAAATTGGGCATTTTCTTCTTTTTTTCCCCTATGGAAGCATTGGTGGAACTTTGTTTCTGTAAAACTTGTTTTACATTTAAGTTTTTTTTTAAAGATTTTTTTTTTTATTTATTTGAAAGTCGGAGTTAACACAGAGAGAAGGAGAGGCGGGGGTGGGGGGAGAGGGGGCTTCCATCCTCTGGTTCACTCCCCAATTGGCTGCAGTGGCCGGAGCTGCGCTGATCCAAAGCCAGGAGCTTCCTTTGGGTCTCCCATGCAGTTGCAGGGGCCCAAGGACTTGGGCCATCTTCTACTGCTGTCCCAGGCCATAGCAGAGAGCTGGATTGGAAGTGGAGCAGCCAGGATACGAACTGGTGCCCATATGGGATGCCGGCACTGCAGATGATGGCTTTACCAGCTATGCCACAGCTCCGGCCCCTACATTTAAGTTTTAAAAAAGAGTCTGGATAATCTTTCTGTTTCATGGTTAAAACAAAACTGGAAGATAGATTATAAATGAAAATTAATACTCTCCTAAACCAAGAATGAGATATTTAAAACAATACTTTTCAAGGAAAGAAGGAGCCGTCATCTGTGTATTCTAGGTAGCTTTAAAAATCTCTTCCAATATGGGAATAACATACCATTCAGTGATTTTTATAGCTAGAATATAAA